TTTTAGAATAACTCTGCTCCTGACCTGCATATATCTTCTTCCTCCTTGGAATAGCTTCCGGAAGTTCAACATTCTGACTTCAAACCGGAAAACTTTGACTCCTGAGAAAGGGCAGAGTCAGGGCTTAATTTGGGACTTCGGCTACCTGGTAAGAAGGGATGGTATCTTAAGGTTGTAGTCCAATCGAACAAGCTGGAGGAAGTTCCCAGGCCTTGGGAAGTCCTGAGGGCAAAGCAGGGGTTCCAGGGACCCTGGGGTCCTTGCTCTGGCATTCTCTCTCCCTCCCCTCAATTCACAGACACTGATGGAGCAGCGTTCAGGTAGTTCAGGAAAGGGCAGCAATAAGGTGAGGCCTGGACAGGGGGTTGGGAGGCAGGAGGAACTTACCAAAAGGCACGCTGATCACTGTGTCTTCTGCTGTCCCAGGGGCTGCTAGCCGTGACAGAGGAACTGCACATTATCAGCTTCACAGTCAGATACACCTACCAGGGTCTGAAGCAGGAACTGAAAGTGAGTGAAAATGGAGTGCGTTTGGGGGAAGACCTAAGGAGGGTTTAAAGCAGAAGCCTCTCAGGGTGGAGTATTGTCTGGCCCTCACCAGATGTCTACAGCTGGAAACATCACATCCCTCTTCTGTGATTTCTGTCTCCTCCCCAGACAGACACCCTTCCTGTGGTGATTATTTCTAACATGAACCAACTCTCAGTTGCCTGGGCCTCGGTTCTCTGGTTCAATCTGCTCAGCTCAGACCCCCAGGTAGGAGGTGGGGGCCAACAGGTGAAGGGTGGCAAGGAGGGGCGTGGAAGCTTGGTGTGAGGGCAGTACTTCTGAGCCACCCTGTCCCTTCCTACGTCTGCAGAATCAGCAGTTCTTCTCCAGCCCCGCCAAGGCCCCCTGGGACTTGCTGGGTCCTGCTCTCAGTTGGCAGTTCTCCTCCTACGTTGGCCGAGGCCTCGACTCAGACCAGCTTGGCATGCTGCGGGACAAGCTGTTTGGTACAGACCTTCTTTTCTCTCAGCACTTCCCCAGCCTTTGTCTGCCCCCACCCTCCATCCTTTCTGTCCCAGGACCCTTGGCCCTGCCTTCTGTCATCTGAACTGTCTGTCTGCCCACAGGGCAGAACTCCAAGACTGAGGGTGCCTTGTTGTCCTGGGTCAATTTCATTAAGGTAACTCTCTGCATCCTGTGCAGCTAGACCTTGGCCCCCATCCAATTACTAGTCCTTCCCCACACCCAGGGCAGCTTCACATCTCTTCCTGCCTTTCCATTCCTCCTTCAGCGAGAGAGCCCCCCCGGCAAGCTACCATTCTGGACATGGCTCGACAGAATTCTGGACCTGGTACATGACCACCTGAAGGATCTCTGGAACGATGGGTAAGGCCTTGGTCAGCCTCCCTCTCTTCCCTGCCGCCTTTCTCTGCTTGAGAGTGGACTCTGTGCGCCCTCAGGTGGCAAATGGGGGGGGAGAGCAGAAGCCGGTGCCAGGTCATACCCCCTCACGTTTGCAGTAATAGTCTCCTAGCCCGTATTTGTCTAGCATCCACTGTGTTCCAGAGCCTGCGGGGTGCTTTTTATGAATTCTCTCACGTAATCCTTATAACCCTGCTGAGTGATGGGTGTTGCCACCCTCAAGGGAGGAAATGAAAGCTCAGAGAGGTTAAAGGACTTACACCAGGGGCAGAGTTGAGATTAAAACCGAGGCCTGTCTGACCTCACGCCTATGCTCTTTCCACCACACTGCCTGCCCATTTGTGTAGCACTTTGCCTTTTACAAGGTGCTTTTCATCTGTGTGACCTCACCGCAGCTTCACACCTCTTCCAACCCTGGGAGGTGGATATTGTCAGTAAAGTGAAATTACTTGGCCAACATGGAACAGTTTGTAACAAGGTGGCAGAGCCAGGGCCCAGACCTGGCAGTCTGTCCCTCTACAAGGGGAGCAGGAGGCAGGAGGGCCTCACAGCTGCTCTCTGTGCTGCAGACACATCATGGGCTTTGTAAGCCGGAGCCAGGAGCGCCGGCTGCTGAAGAAGACCATCTCTGGCACCTTTCTGCTGCGCTTCAGTGAAACGTTGGAAGGGGGCATTACCTGCTCCTGGGTGGAACACCAAGATGATGGTCAGCTGCCCTGCCCTCCTGTTTCCACAGCCTCTCTTGCTGCCCCTCTGCCTGCCCTTGGCTTCCCTGGCTCTGTCCTGAATCCCTCAGCAGATTAGTGGTTGGGCAGCCGGGGTGGGGAGCTCCCAGGCCCAGCCTCTTCCCTCAAGCCTGCCTGTTCCTGCATCCACTCTCCAGATAAGGTGCTCATCTACTCTGTGCAGCCCTTCACCAAGGAGGTGCTGCAGTCACTCCCGCTGACGAAAATCATCAGCCAGTATCAGCTGCTCACTGAGGAGAACATACCTGAGAACCCACTGTGCTTCCTCTACCCACGAATCCCCCGGGATGAGGCTTTTGGGTGCTACTCCCAGGAGAAAGGTGAGAAGCATTGATATACTTCACTGGTAGAGTGCAAGGATCCACAGGCATCCACACATCCAACGTTTTCCTTTCAACGTGGGGAAACTGATATCCAAAGAAGTTAAGGGCTTTGTCTGTGGGACACTGCTAGTTAGTAGGGAGACATGACTGTCAGGACCACCTGCACTAGGGGACCCTGGGGTTATGTGTCCAATCTGTTGACCTCCCCTGCCTCCTGTGTCTGTCCCCCATAGTTAATCTCCAGGAACGGAAGAAATACCTGAAACATAAGCTCATTGTGGTCTCTAACAGGTGAGATGTGGACTCTTTGCTCATCTTCCCTAACTCTTTTTGGCCGATATAGTGACCCAAACCTGCCCAATTCCGGTCTCTCCAGCCTTCTTTCCTACTGACCCACACTCCCCAGCCTTCTAGGTTTGTTTCCTGCTCTTTTAGTCTCTCTCCTCTCTGTTTTCCTGCTGCCATCCTTAGGTTGTCTCCACAGGGGTTCCCTGATAATAATAGTCATAATCATTGATGTTAATGGACATCTACTTAATGCCAAGCATGGTACTAGATTTTTTTAGAACATTTTTAAAATTTAATCCTTATGAGAACCCATCTGAGCCAGTAATGAATGATAACAGCCACATTTAATGAAAGTTTACTATGTTCCAGGCACTGAGCTAAATGCTTTGTGTTCATTTTCTCATTTATTGAATCTTCATAATTGTCCTATGAGGCAGAAGATACTGTTATTACTGTTTTCAGCTGAGGAACCTGAGGTTTAGCGTGGTGAAGTGGCATGCCTAAGGTGCATGGCTAATCAATGATCCAGGTCTGTCAAATTCCAAAGCCCTGCTTTTAACCATCTTACTGCCTCTCAAGTATTAGGAGGTATTGTTGTTCCCTTTTTACAGATGATAAATCTGAGGCTCAGAGAGGTTAGGTCACTTTGCCTAAGGTCACCCAACTAGTAAATGATAGGATTTAAACCTCTGGTTAACCTTAAGCCCTCTGCTCTATTGCCTTTTAGACTAGAGAGATAGCCTCTGCTTTCTCTACCATTCCCCACTTTACCTAAACGACTGAGCCCTGTTCCTTTGTCTGTATTGGGGTATCCAGACAGGTGGATGAGCTGCAACAACTGCCAGAGCTTAAGCTGGAGCCAGAACTGGAGTCATTCGAGCTGGATCTGGGGCTGGCACCAGGGCCAGAGCCAGGGCCGGGCCTGGACTTAGAGCCACTGCTGGAGGCAGGGCTGGATTTGGGGCCAGCACTGGAGTCCACTCTGGAGCCCACTCTGGAGCCCGTGATGGAGTCCACTCTGGAGCCCGTGCTGGAGTCCGCTCTGGAGCCTGTGCTGGAGTCCACTCTGGAGCCCACACTGGAGTCCACTCTGGAGCCCGTGCTGGAGCCCACACTAGGCGAGGTGTCACAGAGAGTCTCAGAGCCAAACCTGGGACCAGGACTGAAGCTGGAGCCTATTCCAGAGCCTATTTCACAGCCACTGCCAGAGCCGGATTTGCCCCATGATCTGAGACACTTGAACATTGAGGACATGGAAGGTAAGTGATGAGATGGGGCTAGGGAAGAGGGGACACATTCCCTTTCCCAACTCCCCTCCCTCACCCACTACAGAAAAAGACTGAGTTCTGAGCTCCTCATTGGAGAAAGGCTTATATCCCTGTGATTCCTTTTATTAGGAAATACACACACGCCTCCCCCTCCCCACCTAAGTGACCCCATCAGGCCCTGTCTAGGCCTCTGCTACCATCCTCTCTCACTTTCCCTGCTGCTTTGGGAACTCCTTGCCTAAGATCAGGGCCTGACTTCTTTCTCTGGACTATCTAGTCTTCAGAAACAGCATGAAGATTGAAGAAATCATGCCAAATGGTGACCCACTGTTGGCTGGCCAAAACACCGTGGATGAAGCTTACGTCTTCCCTCGCAGCCATTTCTACACAGATGGGCCCTTGATTCCTTCTGACTACTAGAAACTACATTTTCTCTGTTCTTTCCATATATTTTGCCCCTCCTACCTCTCACATCATGATGTTGCTCTCCAAGGATGGGAAATCAGGCATGTGCTCCTTCTAAACTGGGTTAACCATGGGATTTGGAGTGAGAGGTAGAAGCATAATACGGGTAAGGAACAGTCACCAATGAATCAGAACAGATGTTACCCATAGCTCCAGCTAGGAGCCTGGAGGCTGCCTGCTGTGCTGGGAGGTATAGGAATTTGAGAGCAGGCCAGAACAGTTAGGAGGTACTTGGAGGGCTCAGGGCAGTGGCTTCTTTCCAATATGGAAGGCTTTCAACATTTTCGTAGCTGATAAGACTAACCTGGTGCCAACTTCATCTTCCTGGAGTGCCCTTTCTGCTCAAAACAGCTCTGACTTCCGATCCTGCAGTGATTCAGAACTGTCTTTGGCTAAATACACTCTTGGCCAGGAAAGCAGGGAAGGAAGCCCTGGGTCAGGGAGCAAGAGAGGGCCACACTTAGGACCCCCACTTCCTAATCACAGTCCCTTGTAATCTCATTCATCTTGCTTAGCCATGTAGGGATTAAGGCCAAAAAGATCACGGTTACTGTATATACCAAAGGGTCATGAGGAAAGATCCCTCTCCACCATAGCCCTGCAGAGTAGAAGGATGCATTTTGTAGTCCTTTGGCCCTGTTTTTCTGTTCTGTTTCTTTTTACTAACAAGCCTAGAAATTAGACTTAGATATCCACATAAATAAGCCTTTATTGAAAAAAGTGCATATTTCAGTATAAATATAATAAATAATCCTCCACCCCAAACTGCTGCCACGACGATAAATAATCCCAAAATTTCCCTTCCCATGTAATAAATATTCAACCTGTTCTAGGTCAGCATCATAAGTCAGTCAGTTTTGGTAATTTTTCAACAGAGCAAGTCCTGTTAAAATTAATGGACTGGGGCTTCCCTGGTGGCGCAGTGGTTGAGAGTCCGCCTGCCAACGCAGGGGACGTGGTTTCGTGCCCCGGTCCGGGAAGATCCCACATGCCGCGAAGCAGCTGGGCCCGTGAGCCATGGCCGCTGAGCCTGCGCGTCCGGAGCCTGTGCTCCGCAACGGGAGAGGCCACAACATTGAGAGGCCCGCGTACCGCAAAAAAAAAAAAAAAATTAATGGACTGATTAACTTGTTGGCTCACAGGTGTCTAGGCTGATAAATTCATCTTAGCATTGTTGAGCCGTGGAGGTGTGGGTGCCATCCTTAAGCTGCTGGCTTAGGGGCTCAGAGTTGCTGCTCCATGGGCAAAGACCCTGGCAGCTACAGCCACAAAGGCCTGGAGGCTGCGAAGGATCTTGAGGCGGAGAAGGAGACGCTGCCATGGCTGGCTGGGACTGGGGCTTGGAGTCTGCTCAGTCTCCCAGTGGTGACCCTCGGGCTGAAAGGACACAGGATACAATCAGAGAGGACTCTAGATCCTTCACTTCCCCACCAGGACCTGTCTCTGACACCTGCAAGCCCCACTTCTCCAGGCCCCTAGTTCATACCTGCAAGAGTTCCCTGAGGCCCAGTAGGGAGGCATGAAGCTGGCCCACAGGGCCATCGGGGAGTAGAGAAGGCTCCCCTGTGAAAATATCTGAGCCCAGCAGCTTCTCGTAAAAAACCAAGCCTTGGTGGATCCTTTGCAAGCAGGACTGGGGAGAAAAGAAAGCAGTGAAAGAAAACAGATACAGGGACTCCCTGGTGGTCCAGTGGTTAAGACTCTGTGCTTCCACTGTAGGGGCATGGGTTTGATCCCGGGTTGGGGAACTAAGATCCCGCATGCCACTCAGCGCAGCCAAAAAGAACACCAAAAACAAAAAAGAGAGGGAGAGGAAGAAAGAAAAAGTAAGGAAGGAAAGAAAGAAAAAAAGAAGGAGGGGAAAGCAAAGAGAAGAAGGAAGGAAGGAAAGAAAAGAGAAAGGAAAGGAAAGAAAAAGAAAAGACAGATACCTTCTAATTACTCCACCAAAGACCCATCTGATATTTGCCACTCTTAGAAACGGCTGTGATATGAATGTTTGTGTCCCCAGAAAATTCATATTTTGATATCCTGATCCCCGTGTGATGGTATTAGGAAGTGGGACCCTTGGGAGGTTATTAGGTCATGAGAATGGAGCCCTCAAGAATGGGATTATTGCTCTTATAAAAGAGACCCACAGAACTCCCTAATCACTTCCACAATGTGAGGAGACAAGAAGTCTGCAACCTGAAGAGGGCCCTCCCTCAACCATGCTGGCACCTTAATCTCGGACTTCCAGCCTCCAGAACTGTGAGAAATAAATGTCTGTTGTGGGCTTCCCTGGTGGCACAGTGGTTAAGAATCCACCTGCCAATAGCAGGGGACACGGGTTCAAGCCCTGGTCCAGGAAGATCCCACATGCCGCGGAGCAGCTAAGCCCGTGTGCCACGACTACTGAAGCCCACGCGCCTAAAACCCATACTCCGCAGCAAGAGAAGCCACTGCAATAGAGCCCACACACTGCAACGAAGAGTAGCCCCGCTCACCGCAACTAGAGAAAGCCTGCGTGCAGCCACAAAGACCCAACGCAGCCAAAAATAAATTAAAAATTTAAGAATAAATTTATTTTTTAAAATAAAAAATAAATGTCTGTTGTTTGTAAACTGCTGAGTCTATGGTTTGTTGTTATAGCAGGCTGAATGGACAAGGACAGATACAGCTTTTACTAATTCACCATGGTGTCTAGCTCTGTCCCCAGTCCCCTCTTCCTTGCAGCCCAGCCTCATCTTAGTACCTGACTGTTGTCCCTGAGTCCTTGTGGATCACAGCCATCCCCACACTGGATATGGGGGACATGATTTGTAGTCTCATCATCTTCTCTTGGTAGATCCTGGAATGGAGGAGGGGTGGGAAGAGTAAAGAAATAAGTACTTTCAAACCCCACCTGGATCCTCAGGCTGTGACTCTCCCTGGAACCCCACTCCCCTGTCCTCTCTTACCCTCTGATGGCTTTCAACCCTCCAGCTTCCACCCTAGGCCACAGAGTCTTCCACTGCAGCCTTAGAGGGCTTGGATGGGCTCCTGTTTGGTCCCAGAGGCTGCCGCTTACCACATGTCCCATTGGTTGATGTGCACTCCAGGCCAGCATGCAGAGCTGCTGTGAGAGCTGCTGGCCCCGAGCCCAAGCAGGGCTGCTGCCCTCAGGCGCAGCACGGCCCCGAGCAATCCAGGTCAGCAGCAACAGCAGCACAGCTCTGCTCCCCAGCATCTCGTTGCCTGCTTCTCAGATCTGGCTGGCTCTCTGCCTTGCAGTCCCTGTGGAATCTCTGTCCACTTCCCCTTGCTCTGAGCCTGATTCTCTTTGTTCTGTGCGTCTCTGGTTTGGTTCCTTCTGTCGTTCACCAAGTTTCTGAGCTGCTTTCTGTAGATTTTCTCCCCTTGTCTCTGAGTCTCTTTTTAAGCTCCCTGCATTGTAAGACCCGCCCTTTATACTAGCAGGTGACTCACAGCAGGTGGGATTCCCCTCCCTGCATCATCTCCCTCCGTGGGGAGCCCAGGTAAGTAGCCTCAGTTCCAGGGGAAATGAGTCGTGTGGTTGCCGTGACTGGAGGCCTGGGATGGGACTTAACGTGTGATGCTCTCCAGGAATCAAAGAGGCTGTAGAAGTGGGTGGGGTGGGAGTAACGAATATTTAAATGAATCTAGTCTCAAGTTCCTTCCTGCTTAACCTTCCCCTCATCTTTTTGCCTCTCTAAGCTATATCTTCCCTCCCTTCAAACCTAATTTCCTCACCCCTGCCTGCCTGAGTAAAAATCAAAACAGAAGCATTCATTTATCTCCCAATAGGATGGCAAGCTCAGTTTGGAACGAAGTTTGGTTCCCACCTGATGCCCTCAATCTAAGAATAAGGGGGATTCTTAGTCTCTGTTGAGAACAGTGTTATTTTCACTGGGAGACAATGGACATGAAGGCACTTTGTGAACTGGAAAACCACATAAGTTCGGTATAAGGTATTATTGCTCCCTCACTTCAGGCCTCACTCTGGAGGCTAGGAGGGCTGTTGGAAGGAAAGAGCTGTTGCTAAGAACCATCTGATTTCTCAACCTTAGTGGCCTAAGTTTCTTGGGCTCTGTGGGATTCAGGTGATTTGGGGGTGGGGGACACCAGTGTAAGCAAGGGCTAGAAATCCAACTGAGATATTCCAGCACCCAGCCCTTCACCGTGGCTAGAAAGTCCAGGGTTCTGGGTAGTTGAAGGTGCACAGTGTCAATGACCCTGGCTGGTCCTTCAGCCTGTTGCATCCATGGGTAAAATCCGCTGACACTGATTTCATCACCATCCCTGATGCAACATTCAGTGAAACAGCTGAGACTGTGAAGTTGGGCGTGGGAGTGGAAGGTGGTCCAAATCTGGGACTGCCCCAACCCCAGTGGAGGGTCCCAGGACAATCTGGACGTCAGAATGAGGCCATGGATGACCACACAGATGGCTCCCAAAGGCTTTCCAAGAGGTTGACCCTTTTTCTCTGAGAAACACCCTCGATAGAGGTCTCCCTTCTCATAGGACTATTCAAAACTGCCCAATGAAACCTCTGATTCAAATATGACTGCGGTAAATCCACCCTTTGGATAAAACATTTGCAGCATCAGAGAGGTTACCTCAGTTTGAGTGAGAAATGGTTTGCCTCTCGTTACACTGGTGAATACAAATGAAATAAGGAAATTGGGGGTGGGGGGTAGGGGAGCTCACCTCACTTTTGTATAATGTCTCCCATGCTTTTCCCACCTCTGGTTCCCATTCTGGGAGCCCTTTAGGATAGGAGATGGAAGGTGAAAAGCAGGAGGAGGAAGTGGACCGCTGGGGGATGGGATGAGAGGGACAAGGGTGAGTTGGAGGCATGGGGCTTTGTTTCACTTCCTGGTGCTTCGGGAGTTGGGTAGGAAGCAAGGTTGGTGGGGCGACTGTGGGACTGTTGTGTGACAGGAACTACTTCCAGGACTAGATCTGACCTGGAGCTGCAAGGAGACCTTGACGTCAGCAGGACCTCAACCGTTAATGCAAATTATACTGACAAGCAGGCCTTTCCAGTTGGATGCCCAGACGCCAAATCCAGTTGAAGTTTCCCGAGGTGGTTAGTAATGATGGCTTATATCCAACTCTCACTTTACGCCAAGTACTTAGTTTAAGCACTTTTCATATATTAACCCATTTAATTCTCACAACAACACAATTAGATAGGTACTATCGTTATCACCATATTACAGATGAGGAAACTGAGGTGCAGAGATAAGTAATTTGCCTAAGATCACTATTAAGTGGCCAGAATTACAGTGCAGACTCCAGATCCTGCATTCTCAGTCATTCCATTATATTGGACACTGAGGCAACACTAAGCATCTTAATAAAGTAGCTCATTTAGCCCAGGTATCTCTGGCATCTCAGGCCCTTTAATTCTCACTGTTGAGCCTTTCTTAGAGACCTCAATATGGAAATTTCTCAAGGGTAGGTACATGTCTCTCAGCACCCATCTTTTTACAAGATTTTAAATCTAGGGACCTCTGAAGTCAGATCAGTTTGAGAGACCCTCTGAGTTAAGGTGTTTTTCTCTCCATCAATGACCTCTGACAAGTCTAGAACCCCTCTGAGTCCTAAAAAACTAAATTCTTGGGTTCTTTTATGAAGGTCTATTTACCAGTCTTTATTGAGAGAGCGAAATGCTTTAAAACTGTATCCTCTATGAGGAATTCCTTCCACCAGAGGCCCTCTATGTGGCCTTTAGAAACTGAGCTAAAATACCCCACAGACATCTAACAACCTGGATCTATTCCAAAGCAGTTCAAGCTCAGAGTTGGACCCCAAGAATCCCTAAGTGCTGACGCTAAATCTGTAAGAGTTTGGGGAAGGCAAATGTCTCAATTTGCTATGCCCTGTCCCTCTGAGGAATAATGTCCAGCTCCACGAACTAGGGGAATTTGATAGCTGAGGAGTCCTGTTCCCTGGAAATATTACCGGCGCCTCTGGGGAGGGAACAATCACAGATGGGAGTTTCAGACGGTTGCCTTTAGAATCGTAGAAGATACAGCTACTTGGGTCGTGTTAGGAGGCTGCCTCCCGCTTCCTTTTTTCTCTCCCATGCCTGGAAATGATAGGAAATGCCAGCGAGTTTCGGGGGTAACGGGGTTGGAGGTGGCGGAGTGCTCACAAGAGCACCACGGGAAGAGGGGGTGGACTGGGCCATACTGGGAATACCCGGCAATCGATTCCCAATGCTTGGCCTTGGGCGCCCCTTATTCTAGTTTCTAAAGCTATAGGGAGCATGAAAGTTCGATCTGCAAGCCTGGGGCTCTCTAATTTTGTTTAAAGAAGGCTTAAAAGAGAAGAGGTTACTTTCTAACACGACAAACAGGGACAAGGTCTGACTACATTTGTCCCTACCCGCGCCCCGTAGCTCTTGATTTTGCCCAGCTCCCGTGTCACACGTCTTCTCGCGGGGCCGGCTGTATCTGGCTCCTTCCGATTGGCTGAGGTGAGCCCCTAGCCCTTCCTGATTGGAAGCGACGACTGGGAGTGCGCCGTCTTTTCCGTCGTGGAGTTTGGTTGAACCAGAGGCGCGGGGGAGAATTGGGGAAACTGGAATTTCCCGCGGGGCTGACGGCGCTTGTTCTCCCCCCTACTGGTTTTAATTCCACGCGCTCCAAAATATCCGCCATGGAGAAATCTTGGTAATGACTCAATCCCCGTAAGCCTCCCGGGAACACATCTGACCCCTTCCCTAATCCCTCCCCTCCCCGCCGCCGGGGGAGAATTATGGGTAATTGATTTTTCTGGTTCCCCCAGAGAATTCTGGGTAACTAGCTATTTCCATCACGTACCCGTACCCCCGCTCCAACTGTGGGTAACTGGCCATTCTTATTTTCCCCTAGAGAATCCTGGGTAACACTGCAGAGGATTCTGGGAAATTGACTTCTCTTGTTCTCCCCTCTCAACCACCTACCCCCACCCCTAATTCTGGGAAACAAGCACGTTAGCTCCCTCTACCTAACCCCTACCCCCGCAGTTGCTGCTCTTACTACTGATGGTTCAGAGATGAACCAGGCAAGTGAGCAGGCCTGAAGGGAGGTGAAAGGGAAGTCAGGGATTAAGTTAGTGGGGTGGTGGGGAGTACAGAGTGCCTAGAGGAGAAGAGGAAGGGACAGCACTTCTCCCACCTCTATCCTAATGCCCATTCCCTTCCTGCTTGTTCGTCCCATGCCTAGTATTCTCACATTTTCTGCCTGCATCGTCTCCCCTCTGCCGGTAAAACTTGGAACACCCTAAATACAAGTACCTGGGTCTACCCCTGACTCAGCTATCTCTTTC